CTACGTTAAGATGCAAAACGAAGAGATCAACATAAATGCTACATCACTCTTATATTATATGATTAATCATCTTATTATCTCTCCGCATTATATTTCTCTATTTTCTATCTTTTCGCGAAAAACACTATCGAGGATGAAATTAATTCTCACTTTATATTTCGAAAAACGTAATGCGAGGCACGTTTCGTGTGCACCTGATCGACGTGAATAAAATATAATGTAAAAATATTCATAGGGCGGAACTTGGAAAATTCGCTCACTGGACACGTGACTTCCTTTAATGGAGCTCGTCAAATGACACTCGTAGCGAGACGTTTGACTGCGAACTAAGGTCGAATAGGAGGACTTGGTCGGCCTGAACGTGCAGATAAATCAGGATCGAGGAAGAGGGAGGTGGATGGCGGATACAGCGCAGAGCAGCCTGATCAGGGTGGCGGCGGCAGTAGCGACTGGCTATTGATTTCAAGGGCTTCCTTAACCCCCCGCTTTGCCGCTGAGTGCCCGACGGCTTCAGGTCACCCCAAAGGGCTCTTGGTGCCCGCGACTAAAACAATTCCATACGTTTACTCCCACTACTGGCCCACCTATCCAACACCTTTCGCCTGACTAGTTAACCGGCATGCAACTCGGACAAGCCTTCTTTCTCCGTTTCCTGTCTTCTTCGACTTTTCTTCACCGTGTTCGTTTCAACGAGTTTTTTTTTTTTTTTCTTACAACGATACGCGTTGCAAAGGAGGAAGGTGCGCTCAGAGAACGAATATCGAATTTGAAGATACCCGTGTAGAAAGACAGAAAGAGAAAGGGAGAGGAAGCAAGATCGATTACTTCGTATCGATATAGAAGTTTTAAAAAGGTACTCGATCATACTCGTGATATCGTTCGCGTGGAAGACAAGTAGAAGTGGTCGGTCGCCGTTGAGACGGATCACGAGGAGAGTAGATACGACAGAGGACAGAGGGAAATTAAAGGCGTTCTTCAAAATTTCGCGGTTAAGTGGCCCCGTTTGGGGGTAAAACGAGGTGGACATAGGGGTGGAGAGGAGGTGAGGCGGGAAAGAGGAAGAAGCGCATAGATTGGTAAGAGAAGCGGGGAAGCGGAGAAGGGTGGGGAAAAAGGAGTAGGGATGACGAGGGGATCCTGGACGAANGTTACTATCGCTGCCGTCACCACCGCTACCGCCACCGTCAACGCTCCCGTGACTGCCACCGCCAGTCCCGCCACTGCCAATACTGCCGTTTTCGACGCTACGAGCATCGTTGCTCTCTCTGCCAACCAGGCTTCCAGTGCGACTCGTCACACGGTCTAACATCCCTAATTATCCCAAACGGTGAGTGCCCGATTCGATTCTCTTTCTCTTTTCTTTTTTTTCTTTTTCCTCTTTTGCGTTCCCTCGGCCGCCACTCGAGACCCAACCCAGCTTCCAGACTTCCTAGCTTTCACCTCCCTTTCCTCGAGGTGCGCTTGTCCTTTCCCACGGGAGAAGAACGTACGCGTTCGAACGAAAGAGATATATATATAAAGAGAGAGAGAGAGAGAAAAAGAGAGACGGAAATGGGAATAAAGTATGCAGACGGAAATCGAGGCAAAAGAAGAGAAAGAGAGAGTGCGAATGCTGTGTGTTGTATGTGCGAGGAGGAGGTGGAGTAAGCGAGAGAGAGGGAGAGAGAAAGAGAGTGGGAGAGAGACAGACAGAGAAAGAACGTCACACGAAAGGGTGGTTGGGTGGGAGGTGGATGATGATCAAGGATAAAAGGGAAGGAAGAAGCGCGAACGGCATAAAAGATTTTATTCATCCCTCGACATCCCGTGTACGCGATTAGAATAGGATTTCTCGTTCTGTGTTATACGCGATCGTCGTGCCCCGGCGACTCGACTCCACATAACCTCCGTCAATCGATAATACAAGACGACGGCACCCGCGGCGCTCGGCAAGATCGGCCTAGGAACGAACACGGCCCGCGTTCCTGGGTCGAGCTGTGCCCTATCGATGAATGTTGTCGATACTCTCTACTATCTCTCTCTCTCTTTCTCTCTCTCTCTCTCTCCTCTTAGAATCCCTATCCATTGTCTATTACTCGCTCGATTGAGACGTTGACGGGAAAAGGAGCATAGCGTCGTCTCGGATGACAACCGAGAATGCTTTCTTTCCTCCGTTTGATTGGGCGGCGAACGCCAATCCCTCCCTTCCCGTTCACCCTCAACCTCAAATGTCAAGATCCAGGATATATCCTGCTCCCCGCTGGTTTATGACACGGCCTCAACCTCGCCCATGTTAATTGGCGAGGATCGATTTTCTTCGAAACGATTACACGGCCTAGCTGCCTCACGGTCGTTCGATCGCCTTCGCTCAGGATCCCGGTCTCCCGTAAACGTCGAAAGCAAACCGGTTGTTACTTGGAAAAGTTTACTCGCTGGTAAACTGGTTCCCGTGGCGAAAGGCGATCAAGGCATCCTAGACTCCTCGATAATGGAGATAACGAGGATGAGGAATAGAAGAAGAAAATGTCTACAATACCTCTCACCTTTCGAATTCGCCATTTGCGTGCCGGAACGTAATAAAACGCGTTTTTGATCACCGTGCAAAATGCGCGAATGCGTCGTCAGCATATATCTCTAT